TGACCGCTGAGGTAGAGATTCTGGATCTTCGTCACCACCCGAGGCAGTGGGCTGGTGATCCTGGCGGGAAGACCAAGAGGCAGACCCACATGGCCCTGCCCCTTCCCAAACGGACACAAAAAGGGTGGAAATCTCGTGAGGCCAACTCCAACTCGGAGGAGCTTCACCCTGACCTTCGATACTTACAGGGGCGATCAATGATCAAATCAAAAGCAGTGGACATAGACCTTTTGAAAGACAACAAAGAAAAGTGTGATCAACATCTCTCAAAATGACATCCGCTATATCCAGTTTGGGCCCACTTTTGGGGCCCGATTTTGTGGGCCCAAGCCACCAGCCCCACCGATCCCGCCGCCTCTGTGGCGTGTGCGGGAGGCCGTAGATGGCGGTGCGCTTGAGATAGAAGTCCACGGACAAAGGTGTGGAGACGTCGATGTTGATGATATGATGCTCCAGCTTGGGATACCTCAAATAGTAGGGAAGGGCCCGTCCAAGGAATATACTCAAACAAGTGACAGCTGCCACTTGGTAGGAGAAAATATGATAATATGTTTAAAAAGAGGATCATGAGCAGCTGTGAGTTTTGGAGAAGGTGACTGGTGAATAAACTTGACAGCCCTGTGAGAATTTCTTTGAAGAAAGCCCATCCTAGTGGTAGCACCTTGACTGGATCATCTCTTGAATAGAAATGAATTTCATATAATTTCCATGGTCCATGAAATATTTCATAGAATTTCCTGGCCAACTGGTGGCCAAACGTGAGTTGAACTGGGCTCTCAATGCATGGCTGGCTACACTGCCAGCAGGATCTGACGGAAGCGCTCCTGTTGGGTCTCATGGCAGGACCAGTAGAGCCTTTGGGTTCTAGATGTTGCAAATGAGATGGCGGAGTGGCTTATGTCATATCTCGAGAATTTCTACAATACCATATTGCATTTTAAGCACGTCAAACCCCATCTGGTCAAACCATGTCAAACCTAGTCTGATCATGCCTAATCGAATCTAAAGCTAACGAAGGCTAACCATACTTTTATGATGTCTATATGCCGATAGGGTAAGCCAACTTATCTTATGTTATTATAGCTCATTTATGTTTAAAAAAAAATGGATGCGATCGGCTTACAAGAAGCCAATGCCGGCTCCACTTCTTGAAACTTACACACATCCACTTATATCATTCTCATCGGTCTGCAACTCCGCACCCCAATCACCGCAGTCCTCCAGCTGCTTCTTGTGTCCCTTGTATTCTGCCGTACGCCGATGGCTCTCCACATCGCTCAAGGCTAAGAACGGCTCGGCCTCTGCGTCGGTGATCATCTCCAAAGCGATTGTGTCGGGGTGCTGTTCCATGCATTCGGGATCCTTGCTGCGTCAGGCAAGTGGACATTGGAGACGTAAGAGGTCAGCAGCCGGAGGTAACGGCCCACACTTGGGGTGGGAAATTGGTACTCTAGATGCTAGATCCTGGAGGCATCTTCCCTAAACCACAGCGAGAAAGAGGAAGAGTCGGACAAGTATATAATTACAGTAACTTCAACTCCGTGACCCGTGATGTCACACACCCACACTGTCTCTGTCTACCGCTCAAGTGTCAGTCACTTCACCGGTCCGTCCTTGAGAGATCCCGCACCAATGAAGCAAAAGAAGTTGCCTTCGGTGCTATTCATCTTCGCCGCATTGGCGCGACTCTCGGCCGTGATCTCGTCCAGCGAGTAGCCCACGCTGGGAGGTTTGGGGAAGAACCACACCTTCCAAGTTGAACAGTTGGGAGACGCTTCCAAAGTGCCAGCACAAAAGGGGCTAGATTGGCTAGATCCACTCAAAATATTGGTCAGTGCAACTCCGAGCACTACACTACTAATGATAATTAGGTAAAATCCGGCAAGGCAAAATGGATGATCACCATGCTCAACAGGCAAATCGGCTACAAACCACAGGCTCTTGGCGCATAGGAGTTGACCCATGGTTGCAGTCGTTGGGAGACTTGCATCAAGGCACGTTGTGATCTGAAAGCCCCAACTCCTTGGCATTGCCTTTCACGGTGACCTGGGAAATGGACGCCCTGTCTCTCTCTCTCTCTATTTGCTTGTCTATATGTTCATATATACACATTGTATACATATGCATACATCCAACATGATCCAGGTGAAATAGTGTCTCTTGTTCGTTAAAAGTTTGTTCGCTCGCTTGACACTGTGTGTGTTTCTCCATCCACTTTGCATCAGCACGTGGCCAGTACCCCAAGCAGTCTGAACCAGTCTGAGAGGCAAAAGCTGAGAGGCACGAGGTCCCTTGTCCCAAGGAGTGCATGAAGTCGCGCTCTTCACTCAAGTACCTGCCAGGCTGGGGCAGTCCCATCAGCGAAGGTGAGCCCACACACACCCGGGGACAAACTATAGTGACCTAGTCGACGAGGTGACGAGTGTGATCATGGCAAGGCAACAAGCCGAGCATGGACCCAGATGGGCCCAAATGGACCGTGTGACACTTTGAGAATTCATGAGGTCTCCTTCTGTCCACCAACGGCCCATCCCGACATGAACGCATGGATTCGCGTGGTGTCCACCGCCGTGTCGGAGGCACTGGTCGACGTCCTCAGGACTTAGCAGTCGATGAATGGTCGCATCCAATCCGGCAGCTGAAACCACACCCTTGCCTCACAGCTTGGCTCAGCTTGGCTGTCAAAAAAAGAACTGAATCACCCAACCAACCACCTGAAGCTTGAGAAATATTTTCCCAAGCTAGAACATGCAAAGTGATGCAAAATGGCCAAACCCAACAGGAACACCGGTGTATTATGCTGGATTCCGTGCCGAACTTGGAGGGCAAAGCAATGACCAAATCGTCAGACTCAAATGTCAAAACGTTTGGGACAAAAAACAGTGTTCATAAGTGTCTCCACTTTGAGACAAACGGTGACTGGTCGTGGCTGGCTGATCCTCCAATCCAACCACACTCACTCTGAGAAATGAAATTGCCCATGCTGGATCTACACTTACGTGTGAAAGTCCAACTGTTTTTAAGCCCCTCAGCTGTGTTCATTACATCCACCCAGTTTTGCTGATTGGAAATTGGAACTCCTCATGGCAGAACTGTAGCACCACCAAGTTGCGACAATTCAGCACGACATCTTTTTTCTTCATCTGGACGCCAGTGGCGCGGCCGTTGGTCACCTGTCGTTGGTTTCGAAGCACCGCGGCAGGTCATCGAACATGTCCGAAGTCAACGAGGTACGGTCCAGCACCCTCCCTCAAACACTCATGGAAGCTGAGCAAAAGTCTTCCAGGCTTCTAGAGATCAATCATTGACTTCCATCCAAGATTGTCTTACCGAGTGTATCTAAACGATTACACTGATTTACACATGCAAAACTGTTATACAATGATTGTTCTATAGTATGTTTATTTGAATATATTTATATATAGTATATACATATAAGTCAAAGATCAAATAGTTACTCAACATCATCTTCCCAATGACCTTTAGCATTGCTATTGACGAGCGTGTGTTGGTTTTCTGGACATAACATTGGACAGTTTGCTGCAGGTGGCTGGCGTTTTCATTCTGTGGCAAATTGCCCGCCAATATATGTATATATATATATACATACACAGTAATCAAAACCTCCTTCGGATGTTCATCCCATTTCATCTCAACATCATAAGTTAGGAATCCCAATCAACATCTCCCAGTGAACTCCGGTGACCATGCCATGCTTTTTTCAGCCCGCCTGAATCTGTTGCACCGGCGCGCGCACCAACACAGCACCACCACCCTTGAAGATGGTGGAGGTCAAGGTCCGGGCCAAAGACAATGGACCGCCCTTGGGGAACCAGGCGCCATTCATATAGTGAGACACAATCATGGCATGCACCGGGAAGGAGGCAGTCCTGAAACCACTAATCAAGGCAGTGAGGCAGTGCTCAAGGCAGGGTTCAAGGCAGTCTGGTGGCAAAAGGTGGATTGTATGCATGTTGGATAGTCTTTTGTGGAACCTCTTGCAAACGTTGCAATGACTCAAAACGATCAAACAGGCACACAAAGGGAAACAGTGAGAAACATTTAGTGCTGAATCTTAGTGCTGTCCAATGCTGTCAGTTTTGAAACAATGGTTGGCAGGTCCACTGCCCCAGGAAATCCACACATCCAAGACATTGCTCTCCTGGGTGTCTCGCCATGGTCCATGCATTGAAACGTCAAGAGCGCTTCGTCCACTTCATCTCCGCCCAGTTCTTGGATGACCTCCAGTGACCCGCAAAAAGCTGACGAAAACACCACAGCTGGGACATAGCAATGAACATCATCCTCCGCAGCAACAAACTTGATGAAGGCCAATGCCTTTTGAAAGTTCCTCTTTTCTCGATGGTCAGAAAACAGCGCATGTTCGATTTGGTGTCAATACCTCATTCTCTCATCAATGAATTCAAGACGCACCTACAACTCTTCCACACGCTGCCAACCACAAGCACAAAACATGGCCCACTAGACCGCAACAGGATGAACCACTAGCTCCAGGGCCCCAGGGCCCCAGGGCCGTGGATGACCCACGCTCCTGCGAGGCGTGCAGGCCTCGTGCACGGTCTTGCCCGCCCACTTCAAGCCAGCACGGCAGCAGAGCCGAAGCCAGAACCACTGCGTCCAGGGCTGCCACGCTTTGGCAAAGAATAAGGGCATGTAGGCCTTCCTCGCCTGTGAAGGACATGATGTGACAGTGTTGCAGAAACTAGAATGATTTCCCAGCGAAAATATCTAGTTGTTGAATCTGTGAAGGTGATTCATTGCCAGCAGGGTGCTCTGATCTCATGCAGCTTTCCAGTTAGCACTCGATAGATTGCGGTCACTTGATTTGCAAGTAGAACGGTCTGCTGCTGCTTCTTCTCGACGAATATGGCAGGGCTACATCACCGAGTGCACTGTGCTCTAGTGGGATTAACAAGGACGATTCTGAACACTGCCATCCATTGAACATCATTGAACCATACTTCTAACATCTTCCAACTGTTGGGACAAAAACAACTTAAATATACACATGTTCAAACCACCTACCCCAAAGTAACAGGTTTGCCATCACTTGTTGTGTGTTACGACATTGGCTGACCTGTACCATCGCGCTTTGCAGAGAGTCCACGCGCTCACAAAGCCGGTAGCCGGCCTCGTCCAGTGCAGCCAGCCACCCTTTCAGCAGCTTCTCCTAACGTCGTGGGGCAGTGCAGTCGTACCGTTGGATCGGAAGTCGTTCCCGTTGCGAAAGGGAAGAATTGGTGAACCCATTTTTGTTGTGTGGAAATGGTGTGTCAAAGGAGCTGAGGATGTAGTATGACGTCGCATCCATGTCCTGTCTGGTCTAAACCTCGAATGTTTAATGCGAACTGAAATAGCTCAGGTACAACAAACCCAATTTGGAGAGAAAACGTGTGTGGAACCTTGGGGCATCCTGATAAATCTGACAGGAAACCCTGAAAAAGGCAGCAATGGACGGAACACGGGTGGTCACCTGCCCTGTCCACGCACTTCACAAACATGTCCCTGGTACCAAAGCCATCCATGAACAGTGCCTTTCAAGATTCCTTCCAACCTGATCGATTCCAGTCACTTCTCCGATCGATGCCTAAAACTGGCAATTCACAAGGCCCGGCGCATTTCGGGGAGATTCTTAGGACACAGCTCACATCTGGGCCCAGCGAGCACACCTGGCCCGGGGCCCACCTTCCCAGGCATGTGCTTGCACATCTCAGCATACCACGCGTCACGACCCTGGCGTCGCAGCACGTCTCTGGCTGAGGGCACCAGCAAAACCCGTGGGGAAATCAGACTTCGCCATGTTCAATAGGAAAGCCATGGACAACCAGGTGGAAAAGTCATCTTGCACTTCTAGGTAAGTTGGTCAAAGGTGGGATGAAATTCTCCTGAATTGTCCGCAAAAAGATTGCGGGGCCAAGGTTTCTAATCTGTGGAGCTGGGCGACTGTGCTGGTCATAGGTCCCAGGCCTGCCGCAAAAAGATGGGCTCCCGATCGCCAAACAAAGCCTTGTCGTAGAGACCGCCATCGTCAGAAGCTCCCAGCTGGTGCCAATCGGCCTGGCGATGCTCAAGGGCGTGTTGGGATATTTGGGAACAGATCGCAAGTTAAGGCGTCAAGTGAGATAAGGAAAATAGTAGGGTACCGTAAGTCAGGTCAGTGTTCTGTCTTGTCAAAAACGTGTGATATGTTACCCCGTGACCCGTTTATAGAAAGGCAGGACCAACCCCTCGAGGAGAAACAAAGTGTGCAAAACCTGAGTGAAAGGGGTTAGATCGGCTTGTCCCAATCCTCGCAAAATGAGACAGCTTGTTGATGTGGGGATGCAGGTTATGGGTGTTTCTTGCAACCTAACACACCACCTTGGCAAGCAAATCCTGGTTTGGAGGGTTCCCAGCCTTAAAGCACCAACATCAAAATATATTGCGACCCCTTGAAAACGGATTCTGAACCTGTCATGGGGTGAGGATGGGTGAGGTGTCTTGCCTCTCTGTGCCTCTTTCATAATCTTGATCACTCATAACCTCTTGCACAATCCAACCCTTCCCCAATTCTCCAACAGCTGCAGCAACCGCATCTCGCCCACCCCCTTAAGCCCAAAGCAGCCTGGAATTTGGGATCACCAACGGCTCCCAACAATCCTTTGGCCATGTCGATGTCGCCGATATAGTGAATACCTGCCGCAGTCCCAATGCCAGCCGTCAAGATTCCGGTCGTGCACCTGTCAAAATCCGGACTTCCTATCCAATCGGTAGGCAAGTAGAAGCTCAAAGGGCGGCTTATATGTGGTAAATAAGGTGGTAATGAAGACATATATACAGTACAAATACGGGTGTGATGACAAGAACTGGACATATGAGGCCTCGTCATTTGGGCACCAACATGATGTCAATTATATAAATTATATAGGTTCTCTCCACCTGGTTGCTGGGTCCATCCCAATCGTCGGTGTGTCTCGTGGGTCTTGGTTCCGGCTCTTGCACCTCCAAACTATTCCACGTGGCTATGTTCCATCGAGTTCCAGATTTGAACTTGAACAATTCATCTTCCAACCAGCACTTGTTGACTTCTTCCATGTCTGGGAGAGGCTCGCAGGCCTGGCGTGAACTCCACACCATTCTGGCTAAAGGCGTGACAGCAGCCCCCTGCGATGTAGTGCCTGGGCTCGCACGCTGTTGTGTTGCCCCACTGCCGCACCGGGCACCCCCTGGTGCAGCAGTTGGGATCTTTCGATTTTTGCGGAATTGCTAAGAAACCCCGTTCTTTGGACAATTGTGACGTTGCAAAGATGTATGGTTTTGGAATGGGTTATATAGTTTGATGCCAACATGTTGGTGAATGATTGAACTTTAGTTTATAATTCTTATAAGTGTTTACACATTACACAGCATACTCCTGGAATATGCGCACACACTAAGCCAGTCACGCTTCCTGGAATGCTGGATGGTCTATAGGATAGCATGTGCTTTCCGGCATGGATTCTGAATTTAGGAATCCGCCTTTCTAAAGGGAATGCCACTATATTCATCTATCTATATATATATAAACTTTATCACCGCCCAGAAACTGCTCCAGGACCAAGACTTTGTAGCCACACTTTGTGAGCGCAGCAGAGAGCCACAGGCCGCCCATGCCACTTCCAATGACGATGAAATCCAAATCCTGCGAATTCAACGTGATGCCTCAGTTTCTCCACTCAGCAAGCTTTTCGAAGCCCCCAATCACGCGCAAGTAGCATGTTCAAAACAAATTCAATAAAAAGTAATAAAAGTTCCAACTCTGAGAACACCCGCAGCAAAAAAACAAAAACAACGCCGTCTTGCGCCAGCGCCGGTCCTCCGGGACGCGGCTCAGCTTGAAGCCTTGCTGCAAGAGATCGCCCTCCGGCAGTGCACGCCACGTGGGGCGACGGTAGCCCTTGGGCCTCGTGGGTAGTGAGAGGATGCCGCGTAGGACCAGGTTGGATCCGGCAGGATTGGCGCGGGGGTGAAGGGGTGTGTTCTTTTTTGGTGCGTTGCTGATTGATACAAGTTCATTATACCTAAGAGACTCCCTCCCTTCCAAGACCCCAGGGAAGAGAAAAAGAGTTCAAAGTTGGACATTTGGAGTTGTGGTCCAAAAATGTGTGGATTCCACGTGATTCCACTTCATCACTGGAACCCTGGCCACACCACTATTGGGAAGTAAGTGAAGTGTATGGCAAATCCAAGAAGGCCTCACAAGGGCCTAGCCACGCCTGGGTGGCATGTCAGTCCCATGTAGTCTCAGGCAGCTGAGTCTAAAGGCCGGCCTCCGCCTGAGGTATGCACGAACGCCTGCCACGGCCAAAAGGCCAACGCCAGCGCCGGCGAGGCACTTGGCAGCCCAACCATCTGACCTCAGGATGTTTAGGCAAGAGTTTTTGAAAGGGAAATGGGACGAACAGATTTCACATTGTCAAGAACTTGGATGACAGGATGCATTCACTGTGCGGAAGCGTTTTGTGGGGTTCATTGTGTTTCCTGAATGCTCCTTCTAATTATACCGTTTCTTGTCCATTTGTATTTGTTTGCCTACCTTCATCCGGGCGCATGCCAAACTCTTCTATAATAAAGCCTTCCACCCGGTGCCTGAACGCTTGCCCGGCACACGAAACGGAAAAACGAAATGCTTCCGCCTAGTTTGCGGGGTGGGAGGTGCTTCCCTTCCGGAACTCATCCTCGGCGGCGGTGAATTGACCTGGCACACCTGGGCCAACACCAAGCTGCTTCATCCCGCAAGCTCGGCCCAGCTCGAAAGGCTTGCTGTAGTCGATGGGTCTCGAGCCAACGCTCATTCAGGGCTGATGGCAACTCAAGGTGCTGCGGAACCAGGGGAACACTGACAGGTCCCAACGTCCCAATGGCTATGATTTAATTGACTCACCGTCCTCACCCCTCCTAGGGGTTTCAGTCAAACTCAGTTTGTCAAGACACTGCTTTGTCCATCTATGGCCAGCAAGACACGTCAGGACACTCAGAAACCTGCCATGGAGGGGGAGGATGTTCATAAGTGTTCCGATATAGCATGGTCATGGGATGCCATGGGCAATTTGAATGAGGTCATGATCCTTTTTGTAGCACGGGTGGGTCATCCTACAGAAATCAAGTCCCAAAATGCATCACAATGCTCCATGACTGGATCAACTTGAAGCCAAGCATACCCAATCTAATTATTCCATATTATTCCAATCTTGATGATCATAAAGCCGAGTCACGAGAAACGTCACTTCACAGGTCCCATGTTTTATGCTCTCCCTGAGGATGTCCGACGCAAGGAGGTTTCGAAAGGCTGACAGCGCAGCAGCAGCTGGGGCTGGCACCAAGCCTGGTTGGATTGCAGGCGGTGGCAGGAAGGATTCATGGCACTTGAAGATGGTGCTGGACCTTTAGATCTCTGTATCTCTCTCGCTCTCTATTGGCCTACTTACCAAAAAGTATATAAAACAACTAAACCCGACTTGACTGCAGTAAGCTGGCTATGATCCAAGATGGGTCCGTTGAGCCACTTGTCAAGCATTAGGTGCAGCTGCTCTTCCTGTAACACGAACAAGGATAAAAACATCCAGAGTCAAAGGCTCGTGTGGCATGATTTCCAATCTGGCCCTAACACAGACGCAGTGTGTTGCAACCTACGATGTGTTGAGTGGCGTTGAGCAGTCAAAATGCATCAAAAGGAGCAAGGGACAACGCGCTGGCTGGGAGCTGCTCTGACCAGCACAAACACAAAACTAATGCCGACGCTAAATTTCCGGGGGAAAACGTGGTCTTAACTCTCGCTATGACTGAGCAACTCTGGCCTGCATGGCCTGCCTGCATGGACAAACATAGTCATGCAGTGTCACATGAAAAAGGCATATTAGCGATATCAGTCAATCTCTTTATCTCAACCTATGCCAGCTCACACGGCAGATCATGTTGCATGCAGCATGATGCACCATGATGCCAGTCAGCAACGCGTGAGGTTTGGAGTATGCATGATTATGTAATGTATGAGCGGGTTGACCCCAGAAAAAGACTTTGACTGCCAGGTTCAGCATTTTGCATTTTCCCTGCATATTGTTTGCACCGTGTCCAGTAAAATTGAGACAATTGTGACAATTCCGCCTTGGGAGAGAAACAATGAACAATGAAGGTCTGCACACCGCAGGGCAGAAACCAGCTCAAGGCATGATGCTATGAATGTAGCATTCCGGTCGACTGTCATCTAATGCATCAAAAAGTTTGTCGACATAGTTCTCCATGTAGTGGTCCTTGAAACATTCTGAATTCAGATTGAATTCCTTCCAGCGAGCAAACTGCAACTTTCTGCTCAACACCTTCAACGGTACAAAGTGCTCGTATTTTCGTGCGAAGTCTTCGATGACATAGAAGTCAGGTCGGTTCATCACCCTGCTTACCATCCCCTCCACGACCCTAGAAACCACGGACCCCTTGACACTTCCCAGCTCATTTGTCAATCCCTTCCGTGCCGCTAGTGAGGCTTGCCGCACAAATTGTTGGAGGTTGATGGCACTCCAGGCGCGGGCACATGGATCATCGGCATGGATGTAGTTGCAGGCACACTGCCCGACAAAGGTGCGAAACTCTTTGGCCTGCTGCGAGGAACCACCAAAAACCATCGGCGAGCCGAAGACGCAGCATCTCAGGTCGAAGGATTCCAGAACCTCCCTTTCGTCCGATGGAGGGCCTTTGAGACTCTTCCAAGCCAAATACAGCGACATCTGGGCATACATCCCACCCAGCGAATGACCAGTAAACACCACCTTCCGCACGCCATTGGCTCTTGCAGATCTCAACCTTTCTGCGAATGCACTGCTCTTCCAAAAATGAGCTTTCCGCAGTGTGCCTGCCGCACCACTATGGGCGAAAAAGTCCTTGTCTCCGGTGATCGAGTGATCAAGTTCAAGGTTCCAGTTGAGAAAGTCCAAGATGTACGAAGTGCCCTTGAATATCACGAATAGCACCCTTTCAGTTGGCAAAGTCGCAGTGACAGTTGCCATCTTCAAAGCTGCACCCAAATCTCCAGGCTGAATCACTTGGTGAACTGCGAGGCTTGTGTTAGGGATGGTGCAAGGCGGCTCCAAATCATCGGAATAGATCCATTTGCTAAGCACAGCCGCCACAAATTCAGGAAACTCAGGGGCGTGGTGGACACAGCTGGCCTCCAGCTGAACATCCAAGGTGGAGGACCGAGGAAGTTCTGCGACCAAAACCTTCTCAGCATTGCGAGGTGCCGCCACTGCTCTGCCATTTACTGCACAAATGGACTCCAATTTCCAACCTTGCTCCGGATTGATTCCTGATGGGAGGTCGATGGAGGAAGCCTGCCCAGTAG